AACAAGATACGTGCACTTTTCGTCATAGGCGGAGAACGTGGAAATGAAATGGCCGAGGTGTTAATGGACTTCCCAGAGGTAAGACGTTAGTTTATTGGATAATACGGTCCAAGATTATATATATTTCCATTTCTGCTTACATCGCGCGCATTGTTGTCTAAAATCATTTATTCGATTCCTTGCGTAAATAAGCTTTCCATCACAGTAGAGGATCGCCAAGAGGCAATTATGAAACGTACTATATTAGTAGCAAATACATCCAACATGCCTGTGGCAGCTCGAGAGGCTTCTATCTACACCGGTGAGCGATTGTTTATTCTCATCTCATCTCTAGTGTTTTACGTAGACAATCAACATGTTTAAAATACCCACTTGATCTGTCGACACCAACGTTCCAACACTATGTGTTCATTCTAAAAATAAAATAAAAACTTATCTTTAAAAATAATAGGAATTACGCTATCGGAATACTTCCGAGATCAAGGGAAAAACGTTGCTATGATGGCAGATTCTACTTCCAGATGGGCCGAGGCACTTCGTGAAATTTCCGGGCGATTGGCAGAAATGCCTGCGGGTAAATAAGAGAATGGCTAATAATTAGTTAATGTCTTACATTTGATAACTCGGAGTCTATACGTATCATGATTATATTTGTGAACTATAATAGATAGTGGTTATCCGGCGTACCTCGGTGCGCGTTTGGCATCATTCTACGAGAGAGCAGGCAAAGTGACATGTTTAGGAAACCCTAAACGAGAAGGCAGCGTTACAGTCGTTGGAGCGTATCCTTTGATTGTCAATTAAATAGCATGTCTTCATGTCAACAATATGCTTTGACGTCAACAAACTACGGTCCTTGCATCAATCTCCTTTCGCTCCCCTTTTTTTTATTCTGTTCACCAGTGTCTCTCCGCCTGGTGGTGACTTTTCGGATCCAGTAACAGCTGCAACGCTAGGTATCGTACAAGTATTTTGGGGTCTAGACAAGAAGCTTGCGCAAAGAAAACATTTCCCTTCCGTCAATTGGTCGATAAGCTTTTCAAAGTATGGTAAAGTGCTTGAGCCATATTACGAGAATGCGGAACCCGATTTTATTGCGTTAAGAGATAAGACAAAGGAGATTTTGCAAAAGGAAGAGGATCTATCAGAAATTGTGCAACTTGTTGGAAAGGTTTGTGATTGATTTATATTATAGACGTCGGGAGTCTTGGAAGGGGGGGAGGTCTTTCTTTTTTTAAAAGTCCATCTCTATCGGTAGAGTGCTCTTGGAGAATCGGATAAAATTACTCTCGAGATTGCAAAGATTATCAAAGACGATTTTCTTCAACAGAACGGATATTCTCCTTATGATCGGTATTGTCCATTCTATAAGGTAATTCATATCGTATTATTTGAGTATGTTGTTAATCTTGTCGGTGCTAATGCTCATCTCATCACTATCAGACAACTTGGCTCCTCAAGAATATGATCGGTTTCTATACAGCAGCCACAAATGCAGTTGAAGTGACAAATAACGAAATAACATGGGCCAAGATTAAAGATAGTATGGGTGATCTATTGTATAAATTGACTTCAATGAAATTCGAGGTAAAAGACAGAATGATGACAGGACACGAATATGTTACAATTCGTATTCTATAATTTCGTATATTACCTTATATCGTCCTTTGCTCACTCATGTTCTCATTGTTTCTAGGATCCCGCTGATGGCGAACAAGTTCTTCGAGAGAGATATCAGAAGCTTTATAATGAAGTCCAAGAGAAATTCAGGCAGATACTAGAATGATGTCAGTCGGATGGAGTGTATCGGGGGAGGTGACGTTGACACTGATAGCATATAAATTAAGTGATACATAGTCGTTTTTTATCGCCTTTAATTCAATATTTGGTGGATCAATTACAAATGCATGCTAGCATATACACGTTCAATCAATATTCTCATTAAATTAAATTTCTCTATTGTCATTTAATCTACACTTATCCCTTGTGTTCTGAGGCTTTTCTTTGCTTCATTGATTTGCTAAGCGAAATCGCGAGTTAGCGATATAATGTGTGGTACATTAATCGTTATTCATATCAGTACGTTTATACTCACAGCCATTAATTCATGATACGCATCTTCACAATCCTTAAATCTGTATACATGATATCCAATATTGCCCAAAGAATATGCACCAAATGACACTAGAGCCCACCATGGTAACTAGAGAAATTAGAGCATAAAGATTGTTGAACGCACAAGGATACGTTTTCCACAACAGTCAACACAAATATCTCGTCTCAAAGGACATCCATACCACAGGCAGGATGTCGATCTGTATTTTCTCTGAACTGGGCAAAACCTGAAATAAGAACAAAAAGTACACTGTTCCAATAATACCAAGGAACGTTGCCGTTTCTATTGCTTTCGTCATTGACGGGATAAAGTAGATAATATGTAAGTGAATTTTATTGCCACAACCGTATTAATTTTTTTACCCGTGACTCGAGACTCGGTGATACATCAACCTTATTCTTGCGAGCCTACACATCCGGCACACTCAATTGATGCTCGTGCTTTCCTTGTATAGCATGTTGAGAAAATAAACAGAATTGCTTACATAGGCTTGCTTTGTTTGGTTTGGTTTGTTGTCATAAATACGAGGTATTCTCACTCTAAACAGAACATATTAATATATAATCAAAATATTTGTCACTCTACGACGGAAATAGAAAAGAATGACAAGAATGTTTCCCTTCCAGCCCGCCAAATTAAATTACATGAGGCGTTTCAAGTTCTCTCTCCAGAGACGTAGCCGAAAGTTAATCGCGTGAATAGTAATAGGGAGCTTTAATTGTCGGAACCGAAGTATATAGAGTACAAAGCCGTACTAATTATAATTTCATTGTATTTTCTGGGCGCAATGGGAATTTTTGTTGTCGGAAACCAATACAAGACAGCCTATCGAACAATAAGCTTTAATATCATTTAATGATGACCATTACCCTTATTATTGGAGTCTATTCGAAAAAAGTTTTTGGAATAACATTTTTATTAATTGTGCAATGAGAAATTATGATAATTTACAGAAATAGTTTATCTTAAACCATTCCCGTCCATTATTTTGACGGCATGCTTTGAATCAAATTAACAAACGTGCTTTTCCAATCTCTTCCCAAAGACTTTTATTTTAAGCTTCTTAATATCATATACTTAGAAGGCAAAATAATAGTAAAGTGTAGGCACCATTTTGGTTATAAACTTGCGACGTCGGTCAATCAAAACCCTGTCGTTGTATTTTTAATAACAAAACCAACATCCAACGTGAGCTGCATTTTGCTTTCTTCCAATTTGACGCTGTATGTCTTTTACGTCAGAATTTTGTTGTAAATAGTTGAATATATTTTGAATGCTATCCAAAGCAGCCATATTTGATATTGTTATGGATTCTTCTTCTCCTTCCTCTTCCCCGTCTTCTTCCTCTGGTGCTTCCTGCACTGCAGCAAAAAAGTGTAAACAAATAAAACAAATGACACAAGTAACAAAGTCGCGTTTTCACAGCATTTTTTGATAGTCATCTGTTCGAATAAAATATCTTTTTGCCTAATTTGTTTAATTTCGTACAATATTATTTTGACATTATACAAGACGGTAAAATTTCGTAGAATTTATATAATACAACATAGTGATAGTTTTCGTACGCGTCTTTCTCTGAAGACTTTCGTTCGGTTGAAGATTAATTCGTTTAAATTTCGACTTTACTTCATCGAGACTTCAATGTCGATTCAAAATCCACATATCTGGCAGAAACTGCCATATTAATATTCTGCAGAGAAGATTGAAGAAAAGTATTAATGACACTCGGACACTTCGAAAAAATAATCTCGGTCAATATTTAGCGGTTTTGTCCATATTAATATAATAATTGATAGATTTCGATATCTTTATTATATATATTATAATTAGCATCGCTCATGTTGCTAGTTAATGAATAAATCATGATTAAATATACTGGGTTATATTTCAATGATGCAATGCAGTTAATCGAATACTACTGTATTTCTAACATACTTGGGATGGTTTGCAAAAGAAAGAGAACCGTGGGATATCATAAATGAACTATTGTTATATGTCTGACATCATGGATTGATTGAATATAGTCATAATTAGCTAATAATAACGCAACGGATAAACCTCAGGGCATTAATAAAAACGTGACTTTACTGCGGATATATTAAAAACAGAACCTAATCTGGTGTACTTGCCGATCTATCAGAACGGAACTCCTGATATACACAGTGACTCTCTTTATAGTGTATCAAAAAAATCTACTAGTAAAAAATTCTCAAAAATACACTATATAGAGAGTTTTTGAAAATTTATTAGTAAATACACTATATCGGATAGCATTTATTATAGATGGGTTTGAACTTTTATCCACTATATCGCGATTTTAATTAGTCTCCACTATAAAGGAGGTACACTATAAAGAGAGCCACTGTGTATCAAAAACGAAACTTTTGATCAAAGCGAGAATTTGATTGATATACGTATATATTATGGTACATTAGCACTCCTTTTATGCGAAACATCCCAGCTATTTGGTGGAGTTTTTGGAGAATGCGTTGCTTGGTATCGAAAAGCGAAGGATTGTTAAACGCTGTGTGTTATGCGCGTTTGAAGACTTCTGTTCAACAATAAATTTTAAGATGACAAACGGTTGTGTTTTTATAACAAAAAGGGTAGCATAATTGTTTATTAAATAAAATTGGACGTGATTTGTTTGTTTATTTGTGAAGCTACGCACTTTTAAAGTCTACATGCATAGAGGTCAATTCTTTTTGTTCTGCACTGTATATACTTGAAAAGAGACGGTTTTATAGCTACTATGCAAACACAAGATATAGATACGCGAAATGACGACTATATTTTAAATTCCGCCTATTTATTATTCGGGACCAAAAGTAAAAAGTGCTTCCCCCTACATCAAATGTATTAGTTACATGATCCTCACGACAGTTTAGCTAAATCCTCTACTCCCAGTCCGACTTAAAGAGGACGAAACTTTTCCAACCAACCACGTAGCGTCATCCAGCAAAGCTGTCGGTAAACTTTGACTAACCCATGACGCCAAATACTCCGTAAATGGATATGCAATAGTTGCGGGATTATACAACAGCCGTCGTTTAATTATTTTTGCTAACCTCTCAGGTTTGGTCAGCAACCAACGGGGCATAGAAAATGGTTGATGTGGATCAGCCGTCATGCGGGTATCAATTACACCAGGTGTGATTACTGTCACTTTGATGTTGTGTGGGCGGCCAATGTACCGCAGGTCCCGGCCGAAAGAGATTAAAGCGGCTTTTGTCGCATTGTAGTAAGCCATCTGGGGCAGGAAAAAGTAGCCGGATAGTGATGATGTAACTATATTGAAGAAAGAGGTTAATTAGAGAAGCTTATATGTACGATCGACTAAACATATAACCGCAGCGAATTATTAAATAAAACCGGATACACGATTCGGAATTACTACTCACTTGCAATCTGTCCGCCTCGTCTGTTCCTGCGGTTTTCCATCAGTTTGAAACCAGTCATCGCAGTTGCTACCGCTCCAATAAAGTTAACATCTACAATTCGATCCCAATGGTCTTCCCACTCCTTGTCCGTATCAATTGTATGTCCCAATTGGCCTACACAATACAGCAAGTAAGACACTAATATGTAGCAGATTTATACCTTTGTTGTCATAACATTACCAGCATTAGCAAACAGCAAGTCAATATTATGTTGATCATCAAACTCTTCGAGTATTTGGGCAAGTTTATCAGTATCGGCTACGTCGCAAACTAAAACCTCCGCCGATGCTCGACGTGATCTTACAACTTCTGCGACCTTTTTTAGGGAATCTGCAATAGATTGACAAGGCGATTGTAGATATTGTGATTATCATGCGAGTGAGGAGTGGAGGAAGTCCTTCTGGCTTACCTGCTGTGCATTGTATAAAATATATGTGAGATATAGTAATCGTATTATGCGGACGACAACTAACCATTCATACATACTATCGAGACCCAATAATCCGATAGTGACACCTCGTTTTGCATAAGTAAGAGCAAGACTAGCTCCGATTCCAGAACTGTAGTAAACGTATGAGTTGCAATAGCATTCATTCATTTACACAAAGCATTTCATAAGCTAGAATCATATAATATAACCTTGCTCCAGTGATTACAATGGATTTTGGTTCTGGTGCAAAAAGGTTACAGGCTAATGCGTATGGAGCATCAATAAACATGGTACAAAAGGCAGCTGGAATAGAGATGAACGTAGTAATTAGCCAGACTACCCATGCTTCAATAGTTGGATGAAGGAACGAGGGTACAGTAAGCGGTGGAAATCTAATCATTGCGGTGATAGTAAATGCGATAGAATAAAGAAAAGAGCAAACTAGCAATTATTTATTGGGATGATATTTCGAACATGATACTAGTTGATCTTGTCATTATTGTCATCGCTTAACCAGAGCCAGATGTCCCCAATACGTTAAAATGACATCAAATGTTTGTTCTAAATAAATGAGACATACGTCTTTTTGATGATAAGTTGCTCATCTTTACATCATTTTTATATCATACATAGAGCGTGGGATATCCAATTAAACGCATTATTTAAATGCCACCAAAACTTTAGACAACACACGTTGTTAACGGGTTGAATTTCTTTACTAAATATGAGTGAGGTGCGCAGAATTATAAATATATTGTACTATTACGCATAATCGGCATTTTCCCGAAATTTGAATTCTCTTGATGACAGCGTCCAGAACCACCAGGCGACCCAGTGAGCCTTGCATCGAAGGCTATGGAGAAAACGGCTTCGGCCATCCAAACCTTTAAACCTCTTAACAAGATTCACGAACACGTCCAGGGCTTTCATTTCTACAGGTGAGTAAAGAATAAAGACGTTGGAATGCGGGACACAAGGAATTATGGAACATGAAAAATCAACTATAATTAATTATTACAGACAAAATTCAACAATATTAGCGGTGGCAGGGAATCGTTTATAATTATATAGTAGCGATAATACACGTTTATAATGATACTGATTGGTTATTCTAATATTGCTATTTAGCGATGATCTAAATCGACAGGTGGTAGCCCACCACTATTGCGGTCATTTGAAAGAACAAGTCCGCCAGTGCGTTATTTACGATTCCGATGCCGACGATGCTCGACTGATTGGAGTTGAATACATCATTTCGGCTGAATTGTTCGAGAGTATGTACATATTGTGCAATCGGATTCTTTCCTCCTAGAAAATCTTTCTATTATTTACTTTTCATTCCAATCCTTTAAAGAACTTCCTGAAGACGAAAAACTATATTGGCATTCGCATGTAATGGAAGTCAAATCCGGCCTCCTTATTTGTCCGACAGCAACTGGTGTCCCAAGGACGGTTGGGGATAACGCCGAGATGAAATATATGGAGGAATTGATCAATACATATGGAAAGGTGAAGTTTAAATGCGCGTGAGAAAGGAATATTGGATTCTATGTGGCTAATGAAACGTGATATTCTTTTATTTCAGACTTGGCATTTCTGGCAAGTTGATCGTGGCGATGCGTTGCCATTCGGTATGTTCTATCCATTTATTTATTTCACATCTTCCCTTATTTAGCATATAGCTTCACTTGTCACTTTTCGCACTTTATAGGTCCTCCAAAATTGATGATGTCGATCGTGGAAGAGTCGCAAATTAATCAAAAACTGGTCGAAGAACGTGATGCGCACTACAAGATATCAACAGAGGAGAAGAAAAAGCAACGGGAGCATTTGAAACCAAAGGGTGAGGTCGATCCCGGCGCTGATCATTGGGTAAACAGAGAAGACGGAAAGACTTATAGAACAGAGATGGTTTGGGGACCAAGAAAGTAATATGATTTGTTATAATAATGTTCGTTGCATTCGAGAAAATAGTAATAAATGATGATGAGCAATCCATCGTTTTTCTTGGCTTGTAATTTTATCTTTTGCTGTCCCTGTCTTAAAATTGCATACATGAATGAATACAACATCTTTAACGCATTTAATTCGCTGCAAGAACTATTTTGTGATACTTATTTTATTCAAGGTATTCACACAATACCAATATACAACAAAACCACTTGGAATATTAATCTTTTTGAGCAAAGCGGTTAATGTATATTTAATATCTACCCGGTTGACAGAGAAATACGTACACTATTATTATTAACATACGTGAAGAAAGTTGGGTAATAGTTAAGCAAACATGCAATGCATTATTAAAAATTACAAGGCGCATGTATTTATAATTCTCGCGATATCCATTTAAAATTCATTTGCTAACTTCTTATTATCCCTCCTGGAAGGTTTGCCGCTTGTACCTTTTTTATAACCACTCACAACCTTCTTGCAGGCCTTATAATAGCAGAAGTCCTTATCTCTGTTCGTATCACCTGGACAATAAGGAAGCCATTCCGGAGTCAGTAACTGTTGGTACAGCTTCAATCCACGTGTTTTATCTGTCATCCGCCTCCTTCCATTTGATTTTTTGGACCCAGCTAGTCTACCATCATCACCATATCCTCCGAAATCTTCAGGTTCAGAAAGAGCTTTCTCCTTAGAGTCTTTTATTTTGTATCGAGACGACTTGCGTCTGTGATTCCTACTTTTATTTGAACCGGACGCTTCCGTATCGGAGATATTGTGTTTGTCTGAGGGTGATTTGACAACTTGGGCAAACGTTGGTTTGGAATGAGCTGAGATGCATTCGTATGCCTCGTCTTCGGATATATCTACATCGTCGAGGACGGTAAGGTGGTGGACCGAAGTAATAGTATAGTTTTTAGAGAAGTCATCGTCAGAATCCCATTCGTTAATTTCTTCCCAGTCGGGATTGATGCTTGAAGTTTGAGAAGGAAGCTCCATTATTAGATTAAGTTGATGACGAGATTGTTTTACAATATATGCAAATAGTCTTTTACGGTATATCTAATTAGGAGTTATTTACAGTGTAGTTGTATTTTTCTAGCCCGGGGAATCGAGTGTTAGTTAAGCGACAGTCTGTCTGGTCGCCTCTATATACGGTTTTTTTCCGCAGTCACCGCAGTCGTGTATGCTAATTATGGAAGGTCATTTCTTTGCCCCGCAGTTGCCAATTGAACCCCGCAGTCTTTGCGTATATTACAGTTCCAAATCTAGTCCCTTCTTCAATGATATTGATTTCCAAAACCGACCTGCAGTGCAACAAGTTCCTTATTAAAGGTTGGTCAATGAGATAACGATGCGAGTTGTCATTTGTCGGGCCAATTAACGCAAGAATGACAGGTACTATGTACGCAGCAAATGACTCATACAGTATCACACTATTTCTGTATATGGAAATTGTTATAACCGTTTGTGGTTTAGAAATAGTCTCTGTTTATTAGTCTTTCTTATACGGTTCACGCATGTGTTCTCCAGTCGAAATTATCTCAACCCGATCACCAACACTTATCAAAGTGCCTAGAGTCGTAAACGGAAATGTTTATCAATCGAGAACGATAAAAAATGTTGTTTATCATACCATCTAAAATATGTAACACTTACCAGGTTTCGAGTGGAGAGCATTCATTCCTATAATCATGGTTGCACTTTATCAATAACCGTTTTCAATTAAAATCCCAGTCATATTCGAAACTTACCAAAGCAGGCCTTGTAAATCGCACCCTTGTCCACCCTACGATACGACATTAGCGTCTTCAATGGCTGAATACCATTTCTTTCGCCAGTATCTGGATTCACGTTGGGCACTACATCGTATCCAAAAAGCGTAAACGAACAAGCTTTGACCAACTTAATGAGCATGCTTAACGAAACTCACCGGTGCATCTTATGGATCTACATGTGATGTAGAAAATATTTTCTTTATCCTCTCCAATTACTATTTTTTTCCATGTATCTTCTTCATAGGGAGCATTACATCCTTTCACTACTATATTTGGCCTAAAGTTACGCATAGTCACTGGTGAATCTAGCCGACTATTCAGATCAGCCAACGACTCCTCTGAAATGAGAAGGAAGGGAAAGGCATCTGCAAACACAACCTAGTAGAGTGACCGTTTAATAAACCATACAGAATACAGACATTTCATGTTAAAGACTAACAATTTTAGCTTTATGACATACCTGCGGTTGATATACAAGTTCGTTAGGGGATGGAAGGTTCCTTGTAACAGATCTCACATATTCATCAGGTTTAACAACTAACTTTGCAGAAATACCCAGGCATGAACTTATCCACGTCGATGCTGTCTTACCACAATCATAGGCAGGAACTACATCATCCCATATATTAACTTCCAATTTATCATTTGATTCAAGAGAATTTCTTTTAGGGGGCAATAGATCAAACATTAGGCGTTCTGACAAATATACCATCTATGGCTTGACCCGAAACATGCGTGATATAGATGCTGCGTCAAACAATAACTCGAGCACTCACTTTACATCTAGTGGAAGTCTTAATTCGTTCTCAACACCTTTAGCAGACAACACTAATTCGCTAATGTCGTCGCCATTATCATTTACCTCGAATCTTGGCGTTATTATAGCCATCTACATAGAAATCCATCGAAATTCAATAAAGCGTCTACTATAAACACGACATACTTTTCCATTCAGTTCAATAAATAATGTTTCCTATCGATTTACCTTTGGAGCATTCCTCTGTGATAAGAAATTGTTTTCGTCATCCACAACCATCCAGTATCTATCATACTCAAATCCATTTTTATTCGTGCGTCGTGATGTGACAGCAATGCCTCTACATCCCTTTACCGGATATATATATAATGCAGTCACCGTAATAGTTCGCTTTGGAGATTGTAAAGAAGAAAAGGCAGTTCTAAGATAGTCCATGTAGGGATCACAAGAGTGTCAGAATCTTTTCTAGAGGCCGGTGATTGGTTGCAGGATTGGTCATCCGTGAAATTCTGATTCTAAAGATAAAACGAGGCACGACTGTATTTATAATCTCCGCCTTGATAGACTGTACTAGTACTTTTTAGTCGACGGAATAACAAGCCACCGAATCGATCAGTCACTGGTGACTTACATGAGAGGGGGTATGTAAACGGATAGAGGAAGAGAGAATTCACAACTTGAACTTTTTGAAGTCATCAAGGCGACTTTGTACGAAGAATAAGTCTTGGTTATATAATTCGACTTTATTAAAAGACCACAAAACAACTGACTTCAAGTTTTTCTTTGACCAATTCTATTGTTAGAAATCAAACCTCTCTAAATTTGACCAATCGAGAATCGGCATGCACTAGAAGTCAAATATCCAACCAACGAGTCCAAGTGCAATGGGAGACTTTTTCTAATTTGCCCTCACTCATTTATGCACAAAGCAGAACCAAATTAATTAAATTGGAGAGTACCGAAAATCAGGTTTATTAATATCGAAATTGAAATTATCTAATTATCTTGCTTAGTACCATGGACATGATTCTCCGGATTTGGTCAGGACAATGTTTGATGCGAGAAGGACGAAATTCGATAATAAGTGATAGGGATAGAATGAAACATATTCTCAGTCTTTAATTGGCTAATTTTGGGATTAATGCACATGGTGGGCCGCAAATAAGTCGTGTAATGGGGGTAAACGGAATATCAAGATAATTGTTGTATAACCAACCAGATTCAACAACTCGGCTCTTGGTTCGTGCGCATATTGCCATAACCAATCAATTCTTGCCACACAATTTATATGAATATTTTCGCCCTGCCGTATTTCATTCACACGTTAACCTCCAAGCAACCAAACGATGACCGTAATATACGGAATGTTTAGAGTCTTTCTTTTGTTTATGCTGATAGTTGCACCTTACGGTGGTATCCTTTTTCGTTCATACCAAGTGATTTACACGGAAAGCGTAACGGAGAGAAATGGCGGATGGAGTCAGGTTGTGCTGATTGACTAATTTTCCTTGTAGCAGTTCTTGTTTTAGCTTAGTACATTACCTCTTGGTTTTATTCCTTGACGATGTCTCTGTATTTGAACAGCATTATTTGCTGGAGCTATTGAGCTAAAACCAGTTCCAGATACGGTTGAAATAGTGGGAGAATTGATAGATAGTCCTTTTAGCCGTAAGTATTATCTCGGTGGCACAATAAGTACGTTTACTTTGATTTTTCCTTACTTTCTACATCTACTTTCGATTTCAATAGAAATCATCAATGGACAACCAAACTATATAAAAATCAATTTCAATAACAAGGGCGAAGCAAATTACACGCTTTATATTGTCCAAGCACGCTTGGTCAGTATCGACGGTTCCGACAGCATTGTGAAGAATGTAAGTAATCATGATTCGATGTTATGTGTATGCTATATGTTACAGCATAATATTTACCGAAAAGCACGCTATTTATTCTTAGTTAACGACGTTAAAATACAATACTGTTGTTCCTGCAATGGAAGATAGCGAGATTCGATATGTTTTCTATAGTGAGATGCAACCACAAGAATTAACATTGATTGCTGATCTCATTTTCACCGACGAAGTGAGTGTATATTGGCGCATGTGATGATTGGGAAGCCAGAAATTGTATCTGACGCAACCACTTATTTTGTTATAGCAAGAGAATATGTATAGTGGACTTGCCTACGCCAACAACGTAACTATTGTCGATCCAGAGCAATCTATTTTTGACTTACAACTGTAAGAAGGGCTTTATGATATCGTTTGATAATGCTTTACGGCTCGTTAGCATGTTTCCTTTCACTAACTGCTCACATATTATATATAGTATTTTCATGTATGCTATTCTTCTCACTATTGCTGGAGGTGTTGCATATCTCATCAAAGAAACGTTTTTTGGAGGATCAAAGAAAAAGAAAAGCAAAAAGGTAATCTGCATACAGTTATTTTCCTAAGCATGTGTCAATAGTCTAACATGAATATTACTTTGTTTTTAAAAACAGCCAACTACTGAGAAGACAGATAGTGGCACTACTGGCGCATCAACAGGCACAACCATGGATTGGATTCCCGAGCATCATTTGAAGAAGTCAAAGAGTTCATCCAAAAAGAAAAATTAACATTAATGCAAGTGCAATGAGATATATACTCATACTAGAACGTTTATATCGAAAATTATTATTATTTTACTTACTGAATAAAACATAGAGACACATCTGCGAAGCTAATGGCACGTTTTTTATAGCGTTATTGCAGAACTTGAGTTGTATTTGCACGTGTTAGTTTAGACTCCGATACTAACCGAATTCAGGATATTTGATTAGCGCTGTTTAACATGAATGACTCCAGTTGTTGATCAACAGCGAGTTCTAACGCGAATTATTCTCTTCTCGTTGCGAGTTGATTCCTGAATAAGTGAAGAAGCATTGTGTTCTACGGATATGATGTGTTTGCTGATGTCGTTTGAATATTGCCCAATTTATAAAGCGAACAGCCAACCCTGTCGTCTTGTACGGACTGCGATATAGACGAAAAAGGTTGAACTAAATTACCAACTAAATATTGATGTTGTGGTCACTATATAAATTATATTGCTTATAGTCAATTGACATTAATTCTATATACAGGTACTTAATTTCTCCAACACTGCCCAGACATTAGCATTAGTAGAGGGCATTAAAAAAGACCTATATACAGCAAATAACACCCAGAAATTGTCATGTTCATTTCAATACTTCATTAAAATAATGGTTTGGAAGTAACAATGTGATGCTAATGCATCTAGATAGGATACTTTTGTCGTTGCCAGATAATATAATAATGTGGATCCAGATTAAAATATAACAGATCATATCTCATTAACTATACACTTGGTACTTGACATAGTGTTGAGGTGCTCCAGAACACTGTTAACATTAACATTAGTTTGTTGACTCCATCAGTTCCATGACCTGAATAGAACACTACAAACATCTATGAATCTGATCAAAAGTGTCAAGGGTGGTATACAAAAAGAAAATGACTAAGGACAGAATCTGCTAATACTAATTGATTCATCTCTGGGAACAGAAGGTATGAATGATTCATTTATGGCACTAGCCGTAAAGCACTCGGCTACAATTCTAAAAATAAAACCAACCTGAAAAATGTTACACCACATCAATGACTTTACCAGGAATGGAAGACCCATTATATCACTAGTTCATTTACTATGCCACATTTGTCTTCATTTCATCTTCAATCGCGATAGCAAGGCTGACGTTATAGCGGCTAATTATGCCCCCCCAAAAAGCCTCTGTTAAAAACTTGGGGTTTCTGAAAATACTTTGTGCAACTGCAAGTTCTGGTTCGCTCCCGAGCTTAAGACCATCAAGTATTTTACTCTATAAATGCATGAGTGTCTGATTTGGCCATATGATCTCGATGTATTCGTACAAACTTAGTATCTGAAATTAACAGAAGAAGACTAAAATTTCATGGTGTGTTGAATGTGTCAATCATGTATTAATACTGTAGCGTGTTGATAGTGCGTTCATTCATTTTAAATGAAAATATACGACATTTAATTCACCATCTACTCATTTAAAGAGTTGGAAATGTTTTTTTCAATCAACGAAGCGAAGATTAATCTTCCTTTTCTTAATTATATACACCTTCGATTAAGAAATTATGTCAGCGGTATAATTGTAAATTGCTAGCGGCAGGACTAATAATTTGGATGTCTCTTTTGATGTGTTCTACAATGGTACGCGATTGGGAAACGAAGTATTTCATGAAATGTGTTGTAGCTCAGTTGGGGACCTGTCTCAGTTCTGGACTGAGATAGGTTCCAACTGATGTACAACAACTCCAACAAGTTTTAACAATAATTTTCATATTGACGTTTAGTTTCCATATTCTCGATAAGATAAAGTCATGCGGTATTATCAAGGGTTTTTTAAATCGAGAGATTTTTCTATAATGAAGAACATATTTAAATTACATAAAATCAGATAAGAAGTTATTAGATAATTCTAATTATTTCTGCTTCTTTTTATACACAACAGCGTTTTTAAGTTCTTCTGTCTAATGTAATTAGAACAAAGGCTATTCCGTGATAATAAAAAGTCTTTCTCAAGCTGTCTGGTTTCTCTGGACACTTGATATGTCGATTATCTCTTGATTGACGCCATCATCAATTGATCGGATATTGAGGGGGTCTGAAATGGGTAATCTGTCAATTAATATTAACAATTAAATATTATCGTTGTCGGTGAGGTACTGACTTGCTTGTCTTCATTGTCGCAAAGCGATTTAAAACACAAAGTCAATAGATTAATTGGGACAGTATTAAAGTGAGGGACATTAACATGCTTGATAATGATAGCAAATTAGAGAGATGATCTACACATTTCTTATAAATCATATGTCATCCCGCGAGATTGATAATTTACGTCATTATATCAAGCACGAATTTACTTGGTTTCGGGGAAACCATCGTATTAGGCCAATTGTCTTGTCAAGGGAATCGAGAGCAACTATGCAATGAATTACTGTCTCCTTGATCGTTTTGCTTACATCCTTTGATTTTCAGACTGCGATCATATTGTTACGCAACAATCAATAGCAAAACAGTGTGTGTGGGTTATCAAATTTGCTACTGATTGTCTCTATCTCTTTGATTGGCATCTTGTTTTTAGCACGCGACCAGGCTTATTCTCCATTTAGTCAGCTGGGAACCAATGAACAAAAAGCAAACTCGTGAAAGACTTTAGTATTACGAATACTTAATTTGGGATTCTCTTAAACTGGGTAATGGTAATTGAATGAATGGTCACATGTGTATATGAATTGCAGCACAAACGTCTAGTAACTACACAAGCGTCCGAATGCCGTCATCGAAATAATATAATAATAATAACAATAATAAAGTGTGAAGTCAGACGACTTAGTACAGCCAATGGTATTATTTAATTCAGTCACATGCGAGCACACCACATCTAGTGTGCAGGCAAAGGGGCACAAGAAATTTCAAGGGTTCATTTCAACAACAGTATAACGACCCATCATCATCTTATCAATATCCTATCAACGGTTAATGTGCAAGTTCGTGCTTGACTGATTATCTCCTGTTATTCTCCGGTCTTCCATTCTTCTAACTGGCTTGCATAACATTTTCCTTGTGCAGTTTTCACAGCATATGTAGCCCAGTTTAGTGATATACTACAGCAATATCACCTTTTGTATTCTTGTCTTGTTAAAAAGTTCGTTCATAATCTCCCCATTGAATACTGGTTTTTGCTGCAGTGTTCCCCAAATATTAATATCATATTATGTTGATCCAAAACCAGATATCCATTGTTTAGATAAAGATGAACCTGTAAGATAGCTTGAAAAATAGAGGAACTGGCGATTAGAAGAGCGAAAGATTGCTCACATATGCGCCATTACTGTATGATAAATACATCAGCATATACTTCCATATCTATTTTATTTATTGTTATCTCTTCACGGGTCCATGCGTTGTTGTTAATCTATTGTACCGATTATCATCTTACGGTATTCTTTCTTGAATCCACGTGTGAATTCCATTGGCAGACCCTCAAAGTTAAATAAATATCTACGGATCAATGTTTAGTTTGTTTAGTTAATTAGTACTAATATACTAAATACGCATTCGCTTCTAAATTCAATTCCCGACTTTCCCTTTTTCAGACTCACGCCTACTAATTTCATCAGCCAATAGAAGCTTAATATGAGCACACCTGAGTCTATTAACCAATCATAACCACACTCTTTGTTCTTGACTACCGCCATTTTCATTCAAACTATTCTCAGAGGCATAAATATCCCCCCATACACGCTCTCTTCGTTTGCTGAGAAACTTTTTTCTCTCTCGTACTATTCTGCTTTAGAAGTAAGTAGCGTAAATACCATGTTGGTGGCAAAAACCAATATGATTAGAATAATAGGGAAAACAGAAAATCGCTTGCAGAAAGCAACTACAATGTTGATGCGCGATAGTAGAAGTATCATATGATTATTGTTATTACTATTACTATACTAACGAATCTATCGTCGTCATTCTACAGGTATTCGGTCAGTGTACATATAATTCGACAGTTTCTCTAAATAATGCAGCAACAACAACCTCATCCAAACCATACGCCAACAGGTTTCCGGCCTATAGTCCCAGCACCACCTCCAATGCTGATGATATCACCTTCCCAATCTCCCCTCACGAAAGCAACACCACAGCAACAAACGCATTTCCCTCCGTTCGAAACTCCGCCAGTATCTCCATTCTCAAATCCACGGCACTCGGAACAGAACTCTCAACCCTTCAAACTCCCTCCACCACTACAGACTCTTCCATCCATATCAATACAGCAGCCATATCAACCACATCCACAATTACAACAATCGTCTTCAACGCGCTATGAGCCAATACTGCCTAAACAAGGTCCAAGCACATCAGTGTTCTCAATCCCGCTAGCACCGCAAACAACGGGTCTAAACACATCACCAAACAGTCGTCCTGTCATGTCTCACCACACATCTGTAATTCATCCTCTCGTCCCTCATCATCATAGATATTCGAATGTAACAGATAAATCTTTAACCACTGCTGACCAGCGCGAATTACAGAGGAAGGTATCTCACTCTGCCATAGAACGGAGGCGACGAGAGAGGATTAATGACAAGATAATGCAATTGAAAGATTTGATTCCTTGTTGTGCAGATCAAGATCATTTACACAAGTTGAACATATTACAGAATGCTATAGATTATATTCAATATCTACAAGAACTTGTCGTCGACTACAAAGACAAAGAAAAGAAAGTAAGGGGAAGAGAGGATGAGGATGACGAGGACGACGACGATATGTTGAGACGTAGTAAAAGGTCCAAGTTTGATAAATACAAGATTCCAAGGAGAAGCGTCGGAAGTGGGAATAAGTGGAATGAAAATGCAAAAGAGAGAAAAGAAGAATTTATAAGAAAAAGCTCCAAGGCCTCTTCCCCTGCTACCAATATTTCTACAAATTCCTCGCCTTTAGTCACAGCATCACAGTCAAACCCAGACTCCCCTAACCACGAGGCTCTGTCTGCCTCCTTCACACATTCGTGTAATATGCTCGATATTCGTGTCCCTCATCCGCCACCATTTAGCCTAGATGGACCGTCACACAACAGTACACCAATTGAGGGATGCAGTAATATGTCACGGGAATGCGAGTGTATAAATCATGAAGAGGCTCATGTATTGTTATCGTTGAGTAGTTCAAAGAAGTCAGAGGCTGATAAAAATAAAAAAAGGGACTTAATGGACATCGATGAGAGAGAGTCTGGTGCTAGTGGAGGTGAGGAAGTTAATAATGGAAGAGAAGAGGGTAGAGAAGAGAAAATCAGCAATGAAAAGCAGCAGCAGCAGCAGCAGCGGGGAGAGGAAAAAGTGTTTGAAGATGACAGCAACGATGACGAAAGAGAAGGAGATGAGGAAGAAGAAATGGGCGAATCGCCAAGGCAGAGAATGAATATTCAACAATTATTAGTACAGGACACTCATAATGATTAATGTCAATGAAAATTTATTTGCTACTGTAAGGAATATGATAAAAAAAAAGTCATTTCTACAATTTCCTCGTTTTGATCTTAATACCTTGTAACTTTTTTGTGTAATACTAGTTTTCCTATTAGTTTTCCTATTATTATTTTATTTCTTTCGTTTATAGTTAATGTAGCAATTGAGTGAAGGCGAGGTGTTGTAGATTTTCAGTAATCCAATAATTGAAAGTGTTTTCAAGAAGACTGAACGAATTGTTAATAATGATAACAGATTAAAATTGAAGACAAGTATCAAATGAACATAATGCTCTGAAGGGGGGATATTTCAATTTATTGGGACGTTACAAGTGTCGACTTGACTGTTGGTGTTGACAGGTTGATGGGTCGAGTCCACCACATCGATGTCTTTACTCTCACTATTTGTAACATAATTTTGCTTGTACGAAACCAAACTCGACTGTTTTCTTTGACGAGACAATATCAAGTTCGACTTGAATCTCTTTATGGACTAACTCATTTCGAATTCACTCGACCTTTAATATACAAACTGTATACTTTCCTCAAAAACCGTTCTAAACATAAAATATCCCCCATATGGTTTTTCCCAACCGTCAAAGCCACATAGTAGCAATTACGGAAAGATTAGGAATATATGGTGGCCTACTCCTCTTCCCATTTGCCCATGTGAACAAATGGAAGAGTTTCGATTTAATCAGCGGTCGTTGACTGGAACTCTACACCATTTACAGAGATGCTTCCATATGTCATTCCGGCACTGAGGCTCCATCTACGGTTAAGTAGGGGAATCCTAGCGCACCAAACCAGCATTTAGAAAAGAAGAAAAAAACTTGCTCGAGCTTTTATTTAAGCGTTATGGGAAATTTTGGGACATCTCACCAAATTTGGGTTAACAATACAAAGAGATGTAGATCGCGTGAACTATTATTATGACATAATCAAGACTTATTTTACGGTGACACTGCCAAATAAGTGTGAATTTTTTATTGTTGAAGTGGGTAGTCGTAGTTTTTCACTGTAATGGTAGGAATGTTGACTCAAAAGCGACATGTTGCTAGGATAGATTTGCTTGATTCGCAAATATACGATAATAACCTTGTAGGAATAGCCGAACCCTTATGGAATGCATTATACAATTCTTCTCAAATTTCAGAGAATGGAGGTTGTAAAAAAAATATATATATATCAATTGATTGTCACTTTATTAGCAACTATTACAGATCGTTTTCTTGCCCTGGATTAACAAAAGCTCGACTTTTACTAGATAACACGTCCAAAAACTACTCCCTCAATACATACCTTTGCGTCGCTTTGACTCCTGCAGATGCCGATAGAAATTTGCATCTAGGGGAACAAAAAGATATACATGACATGTCTTTGATAAAATCCACCATTGTCTTTGCACAATCATGTAAGATAGGACCCGAAGAGGTGAGCAATTGGTATGATGCGGGAATTTGATAGAGGGGGCTCAGTCATATAATCAATATGGTGTTTGTTGTAGGAAAATTTATGTTATATTGCAAAGGAATTTGCAATGCAGAATAACATCCATAAGGGCATGTCAGTTGAGATAGAAGTAACGCGTCCTATTGCGTTAGAAGAAGTGATTTTAGGTGCCTTGACGTCTGACGCATATGAATTAGCCATAAAAAGTATATTTCAAATCCTCTCCTTATTGAATCGATTTCAACCTAACTATCGCCATTTTTCTTGTTATCGTCTCTGCACAAGATATTCAACGTTTTCTTATCTCACATTACCTACAAGACCCTCACATTCTCACAGTCTCATTCCAAACAACGCCTCCAATCCTCCTCCGCCATACCCAAATCTTCAACGTATATCCGAATCTATCTTCTCCGTCTTATCGCGTCCTAATGTCAAATCCAGTTCTCCAGGGCATTGTTTCTCCATCAACGAACTTTATCGTTATCGATCTCTCTTCTTCATCATCTTTCCTCCCTACAACGCCTGCACCCGTCACCAACTCCAATCAAATTCTACCGTACTCTACTGACGTAGAGCTAAAAGATAATTTAATTACTAATTTAATACACGGTTTAGACTTACAACATAGTGTGAATTATTTTCCGTTGCCGGATTTGACAGAAGGTGATAGGAGCAAGTCGGGGGAGGAAACTGAGGAAGAAAGTATTGGATCTGTAGACGATGAAGAAGACTTGGAAGAAGCTAGTAGGCAAGGAGAAACTGGAATGATCAGAAGGACTAGGAAGGAAGAAGTCCAAGGAGTGAAATTCTATCCGATCGCATTAGAGGAGCCATTGCCGATTTCCGTTTGGCAACCGAGACCAAAGGAGAAGGATGATTTACATATGAGAGTAGTAATCAATACAGCAGAATTGGCCAATTTAGGTTGCTTAAGTGGGAGTTGGGTAAGAAAATAAGATTATTTGGTGAGGATTGGAGCTAATTTGCAAATAAGATGAAAATAAGCGTCGATTGGGCCAAGCTAATTATACATATTCATGCTTTTCAAAGGCATTGATTTGTAATCCACTAAATCAAAATAGCAAAACACAACACTCTAGGCTTTGTCAAGTCTATGGAGCAAAGTTGTCAAAAACACAGTATGCCCCCTTTTCCCTACACTTTTTTCACTCTGCGCTATTATTTATTGCTAAACTCACTCTTTTCGTCGCATTATCTTTTAGCTCTCCACCGTTGGCTTGCATAACACCACTTCTTTACTTCAATCTCGGGCTTAATGACGTGAGCTCTCCTAATAAAATGATTCTAATAAAACCAATATCTAAGCCGCAAGAGCCGCCTCCCGTAGCAGACAGCGTCGTTGTTGCAAGAGTCGCATCTCCTGCTACATCAGAACCGATCTTCTTACCCGCACTGTACGAAACTTTTAAGAAATGGTTTGTTGAGGCTGAGCGAGTTGTTTGTGAAGGAGATATTGTTTCTATACCATTTGATGGTGAGCGTTATTGACAGTCATCATGACAGCAACAATAACAATACGATTATTAGCAGTGTTGTTTGTTGTATATATGTTACGGCTATGAATTAATTCCTAAATTTCGGTAAAATTAATTAGAGGAGACTGTCCGTTTACGGCCGAAGAAACAGGGCAGTGAAGATCTCGAAGAAATCCAAATACCGACTGCACCAAGTCAATCAACAGCTGTTCTACATTTCAAAATTACTGAAGTCAAATCGTCCGTCAAAACTTCCCGACATAGACCGGGTAGGCGCATAAATCAAAACAAAACCCTTCTAAATCAAGCTGGTCTTGAACACTCTCGTGTTCCGTCCATCAGACATTACTACAACATCAAAAGCGATGCTCCTTTATGTCCACCGTCAGGATCACCATTAACATCTCGTGGAACACCATATGGCAAGCTATACGATATTGTGTCTTCATGTCTCGATCCAAAAGCAGCATCCCTGAATCTCACTTGTACCGTGCTTGTACATGGACCGCGCGGATGCGGGAAAAAAACCGCTGTAGAATGGGTTGCTGAGAGTGTCGGTGTGCATTTATACGAAGTTAATTGTTTTGACTTTGCAGGTGAAAGTGATACTAAGACTGAACAATCGATTCGCTCGAGATTTAACAAGGCTCTTACGTATTCGCCTTGTATTTTTTTGCTCAAGCATATCGATGCACTAGCAAGGAAGTCAGTTGCACTTGAGACAGGGCAAGAGCCAAAAGTTGCTATTATGTTACAGGATTGTTTTAAACAACTTATCGAAGCTTTTCGACGAATAGGACATCCGGTACTAGTAATCGGTACAACTGGGGACTATGACAAAATACCGGCTAGTGTCGTGGGCTGCTTCAGACATGAAGTTGTATTTGAAGCTCCAGAAGAACAAATGAGGTTGGCTATGTTGCAGCAATTGACCAAAAACACTCCGCTTGCACCCGATGTCTCATTGCGTACGTTAGCTACACAAACAGCAGCGTTAGTGGCTAAGGATTTAGCTGGGCTAGTAGCTAGAGCAGGTATGGCGGCTTATGAGCGCATCGATAAGGCAATTGAAATGAATGGGCAAAAGATAGACGATACGGATATAGTTAAGGCTGGCATTACGTTGACAATGGCCGATTTCGATACCGCCCTTGGTCAAACACGCGCTTCTTACTCTGACAGCATTGGTGCCCCAAAAATTCCTAACGTTACGTGGGATGATGTTGGTGGATTGGCAGAAGTTAAGAGTGACATTCTTGAGACTATACAATTACCACTTGAGCACCCGGAATTGTTTGCAACCGGGATGAAGAAGAGGACGGGCATACTGTTATACGGGCCGCCTGGTACTGGCAAGACACTGCTCGCAAAGGCTGTTGCTACCTCGTGCTCCCTCAACTTTTTTTCAGTTAAAGGGCCCGAGTTACTTAATATGTATATTGGTGAATCAGAGGCTAATGTTCGAAGGGTGTTCCAGCGTGCACGTGATGCTAGGCCATGCGTTATCTTCTTTGACGAGTTGGATTCCGTTGCCCCCAAAAGAGGGGAGAAGGGTGATTCTGGTGGCGTCATGGATCGTATTGTTAGCCAACTGCTGGCCGAATTGGATGGAATGGGACAAGCCGGAGGTGCATCTGATGTGTTTGTTATTGGAGCTACAAATAGGCCTGATTTACTCGACCCTGCATTACTAAGACCTGGAAGGTGAGCGCATGGATAGTGTTCTTAGGAACGCGAACAGTTTACGGGTAGACGATAAAAAAGCTCATATCATTATCCACTACTCATACAGATTTGATAAGCTATTATACCTTGGAGTGAATGAGGATCACGAGCAACAGTTGAAGGTTATTAAAGCATTAACAAGAAAGTAAGCTTCTTTAATGTTTAATATCCTAAACGCATTCAAGGTTTATATACACATACTTTAATTTGTTGTATAGGTTCCGATTGCACCCATCGCTAAAGCTCCGTAAGATAGCAGAGAATTGTCCCTTTAATTACACGGGGGCCGATTTTTACGCTTTATGTTCAGATGCCATGCTTAATGCGATGTCTCGTACGGCTGAGTCAATTGAAGCTAAAGTTGGTTAAGTATTTTCACAAATCTGTCTGAAATATTGTATCTGCGCACGAAAAAACTTCATCTGACAGTGTACCAAATTTATCGGCTTATACACTCATATCGTTTCCCTTTTCACAATGCATCAATATACTCTACTTTATTTCATCGGAATCAGCTGAATTGAATAGCAACCCGCAAGTAAACCTCAAGTTTCCTCGCCCTCTGACATCCCAATATTACCTCGATCATCTCGCCACCCCGGCTGAAACTATGGTGCAAGTCACTGAAAACGACTTTGTCAAAGCACTGAGCGAGTTGATACCGTCTGTGTCTGAGAAAGAGCTGGAACATTACAAAATGGTTCAAATGAGATTTAATAAGCAAGAAGAGAATGGGGACAGAACCGAAGTGGGAGCAAGTGATGGAAATGGTGAATTAGCTGGACCATCTGGTAGGAAAGGAAAGGGCAAGGCTAAAGCCGGTTGAGGGAGATTCGTTGTTGGCTCTTCGTACTATTTTACACATAATTGGTTTGCAAATCAGCCACATTGTTTATAGTAAGTTGTCGGCTTGATGAACAAATATTTGACTGTCGTTATTAAAATGCGAAAGAGATTTAATTGACCATTATAATTATGCCTAGAAGGATAAAATAATGTATTAAAGTAAAGAGTGACAATAAATGAACTATTATTATTGACAAGATTAAATAAACCAGTGAAAATTGCTTCAGCTACTTTATTCAACAAAAAAACAGAGCATTCAAGCCAAATAACAGAAGTTGACATCAGTAATAATTTCGAGCTGTGGAAAATAAAAAGATGCTTATATGTTGTGTCTGAGTTGGGGACCTGTCTCAGTTCCGAACCCAGACACAACAGAATTAATTGAATTCGGATGATTTAAACGTTGAATTAATTGAGTTGACGGAATTAATATACACAATCGTCAGATATCAATAAAAAATGACTTACAACCATTACACTCGAAAATACTGCAAAAAGTACCAATTATTCATTGATTTAGTAGAGATAATAAATATCAAATCATGTTCTCTTTGCCATGTTTGAGAACGTTTCAAGATTGTCACATATTTTTGCGACGTTATCACATAAATTATGTCTAATGTGGCAATCCCGAAACGAGTCAAATCCTAGAACAGGTCATAACATATCCAAGCGAGTTTTTCCTTCTTCATAATTTATAAGATTACGATAAGCCCGTACAGCTCCGGGGGGAGGAGCCGGACGGCGGAAGGCACGGAACCTCTAGGAACGATAGAAAGCGTTAGGGCCTAGTTATCCCCGCGCTGACCTCTGAAAGGCTGATACGCGGCGCAAGCCGCAGGCTCATGGGTCAACGCTGACTGCGGAGCAGGTCCCGCGAACGCGATGGGATTAGTTTATGGCTGTGTATTGAAATAATCCTACTACGATATTGGTTGATTGAACTTGAGCTCTTAGTATTTCTACACGAGGTCAGCTCTTGCCAGCACCTTTTCATGCTAATAATAAAAAATGTCACAATTTAACATATGGATATAGCAATAATCTATAGTTTAAATCAGCTTATCCAAGATATATTGTCACTTAAATGTGTTGTATGTCAATTTGATTATTTGGAATTTACGGTAGCGGTCATAAGTATCCGAAAGTTCGGGACAGTGTATAACAAACCCTGATTATCTGTAAAATTTCTGCTCGATCGGATGTCTCCAGCAATTTTCCAAACATATATATGTAAAACATTAAAAACAACAAAAAACATATCAAAACCGCTGTCAAAAAATCCATATCTCCAAATGTTTCTAATCGATTTGCATGCTCTTGTTTTGTCAGATTTGTGTCTCTACATTTCTTAGAATATGTGTCTAATTGGAAGGAAATCGGTACTATACTTGGCAATAAACGCGTATGATATTATCATATCGTACGATCGTTTGCATTCTGTAGTAGTCATCACACAGTAATTTGTTCAACAATTATATGAATGCATTCTGATAATACAGAAGAACTAATGAAAAAAATTTTGGCTGGAAAAGTGTCAAGATATGAATTTTGAATTTTTATGGCCAAAATTGCGCATGGGTATAAATATGTCTCGAGGTAAAATATTTGGAGACATGGAATTTTACAGATGATCAGGGTTTGTTATACACTATACTAATACGCAGGTAAATTTTCAAAGCGTCTGCTCATCCTGAGTTAAGGGGGCGTTCGGATGCTACTGTCAACAATTTGGATCGACAAATCCTTATAAATTTTGACATCTATCAATCGCTTACCATGACTTGAACTGCTTCTGGCTTATCTCCGATGATTTGCTGAACACCATTTTTTCGTATTTCATCCAGTACGTCGATGCTCGACATAAGGGGGGGGGGGGGGCAAAAGTATTGCACTTTTATATTTACGATATTGAAAAAAATTTTATATGTAATTAAAAAACTAACTTTTGTACCATCTACTGTACCATTTGCCTAAATGAAATGTATATTTTGATTTAATAAAACAGGTTGCGATAACCACAAAAAAAATTAACAAAAAAGCACTGTTTTTTACCTTGGTGCATAAATGAGTTTTGAAAAGCGCTTACTGATTCTCAAAAAGGTGATATAATTGCAACAAAAAACTAGATTACCATGATGCAACAGTCGCAAAAATGATAGAATGCCATCGCACAACAGTTCAACGGTTTTTTGCCGCCTAATCAGGAAAATATCCGTAAAAACAATCAGGTCGGCCGCGCATTCTCTCAATCAGCGGGATCGGCAAAATTGAAAAACACTGTTACTGCGAACAAAAAACACGACGACAAAAATCTGAGAAATTACTAAAGTAATTTCTAAAGCTAAAAACCGACGAATTTTCACAAGAACAGTTCACCGTGCACTTCATGAAGAAAATGTACGTTCGTATATTCCTTTTAAAAAGCCTCTCATCTTAGAAAAAAATCGGAAATTTGACTCGAGTGGGCAATGGAAAGGAAGGAATTGGACTGTTGCAAACTGGAAGAAAGTCATATGGTCGGATGAATCTACTTTCTCTCAGTTGCGTTGGCACTGAAAAAACGCAATCCTCAGCCTTCAAATGTTCACAAACTTGAGAAGGAGGTGTAATGCGCTTCCGCAAAAAGTATATCGTAATTTGATACATCTTGCCCAACCGTATTCAAGCCGTGATTTGCTGTAAATGGAGGAAATACTAACTATTGACGTTTACTTTAAGTAAATAAAAAATTTTTTTGGTTTAATAAAAAAACTTTTTCAATATCATAAATATAAAAATGTGCAATACTTTTGTCCCCCCCCCGGTATGTTGACTGCAAAACGCCGAAAAAAGGAGGACTTTATTGCTAAGTTTCTGTCGTGTTGGAATTTTAAGAAAAAAGTAACAAGTTCTACTCTCGATAAAGCGAAACAATAGTCCGTTCCGTTCTGTACTATCATCCTTAGCAGGCAATATTGGAACTCGAGTTCTTCACTGACAGAAAGCGTGCTGGTCAAGAGTTGTAGAGTATGCAGAAAATTGGAGGGGGTGCGTATATTAAAATTACAAGAATCCAGAGAACCTGTTACGTTAATGTTCGATGGGTGGAAAAACGTTCGTTGCCAGGAAGTATTGGGTGCGGTTTTGTTATCTCCATCGAATCAAATATACATCTGGGATACCGAGGGTATTAGTTGTGAGAGTCAGAAAGCACCAGATGTGATGCGACCTTTTTGCGGGTGCAGAGGGTCATAATATACGCATTGGAACAGTATAACATGTATAAACACTAATTGCATTATACTTATTATCAGACGACTCATACGACGTAAACATCGGGATATTGTATTTCTGCCCATCAGGCAAATCTGTGTGTTGAAGATGTCTTTAAAATTTCACCCAGATACAGCCAAGGATGCAATTGACGTAGTGGCATATTTTACCGACAAGCGTCACAGTAAAGCTATCGGAAATTTGCGTGTTGAACAACAACACCATGAAATTCTTATTATTTTGTTTTGCCAGTTTGTTGCGAAGCAGACGTGCTCTCTGGTCATATTCTATCGTGCGTCCTAATTCAAATACATTATCAGATACTGTACGCAAAGCGATTGACAACACTGTTTTCTGGGATCATCTTAAAAAATTGACAGATTATCTTCTACCCTTTGTGATCACTTGCAACGGAGACGCAGCAAATATTTAATGAAGCAACATCTTTGGCTATGTTGCACAACAGCACCAGAAGGACGAAAATACGTTCACACACGGTACTATGACTGAATACACAGTGAAAGTCGATATAATGGACCGTTGATATAATTGATTTTGACTTTTTTTCTGGGACGGAATTTTTATTAAGTAATATAGCGGGACTTTTATATTAAACGGTGATCCGTAGTTGTGCTGTTGAGTAAATTTCGCCAACGACTACAATCGTTGATTGTGATAACTTGGAAAAATCTTTTGCGAAACCAAATTTCTGAAAACGTATATAACAATCTTTGTCTCTTATTTCAATTCCTCAATTGAACTTGAATGAATTGAATTGAGTTGAGTTGAGTTGAGTTGAGTTGAGTTGAGTTGAGTTGAGTTGAGTTGAAATACTTTGAAATTGAAGTAAAAACAAACGTTTATTCGCTGCATTATGCTAACTAAATTTATACACACGCCTTACTATATTTGCAAGTCTCTCGTTGAGTGTTACTAATCAAATGATAAAAAATCAAAATCAGCTGATTGTTGAATGGGAGTTTTTAATTTTTTATTTGCGTTAATTATGAATTAATACTTAAGTTGCCCTATAATAAATTGGCCTTATCACTAAGCATCAACACCTATTGTTGTGTTGAGGGAGTGCAGCTGCCTCACAAAGAAAACTGCTGACAAACACACAGTATTAAAGAGCTAACTATAACAGATAAAGTATTCTTATGTTTATTTGAATTTGGTCAAAATGTATGAAAAACTATGTAAAATATTTGAGGTCATGAATTGAAGCTGTTAATTTTGATTTAGTACTTTATATTTAGACAATTAACACAACTTATTCACCAGAACATTTCCCATATTGAAGAAGTAAGTGTTCAGAAGATGTATATACTAACAACAATTATAATGTAGAAGTCTATCATGCATTACCTGCCAACATTGAGTAAGGACATTGCATATTTAATAAGTAATTTATTAGCTTCATCCCTACTGTAATCCTCTGATTAATACAACTAATAGTTTATTCTTTCAATTCCCACAACTTACTGAGATCATCCATTGCTTTCTTATGCTGACAAAGTCGGCGATAAATAACTGCTCTTATTTTCAATGCAGACATATTGTCTGGGTCAATCTCCAGTGAATGATTAAGATCAACCAATGCTTTCTCAAGCATATCAAGCATATAATAAACTTTCCCCCTTCTTCTCAGTGTCCATGCATCTTTTGGTTCAAGCTTCAATGATTCATTAAGATCAGCCAATGCTTCCTCATATCTATTCATCTTTTGATAGATGCTTCCCCGAATACTCAGTGCAAATGCATTATTAGGTTCAATCTTTAATGATTTGCTGATATCATTTAATGCAGTCTCATACTGATTGAGCTTGAGATATGTTTGTCCCCTTGCACTCAGTGCTAGTGTGTTGTCTGGTACAATTGCCAAAATAGCATCGAAGTCATTTAATGCCTTTTTGCACTCATAAATAGAATTGTAAATAGCCCCCCTCACACTTAATGCTGACATGTTATTTGGTTCTATCTCTAATGACTTATTAATACAATTCAAGGCATTTTCATATTGGTAAAGATTGATATATATATTTCCCATTGTTATTAATGCATCTGCATTATTTGGCTCAATTTCTATTGACTTGTTGATATCATTCAGTGCATCATCAAACTGATTTAACCTGAAATAAATGTCACCCCTCATTCTCAATGCATCTGCATTCTCTGGTTCAATTTCTATTGACTTGTTAATATCATTCAGTGCATTATTAAATTCAAGTAATTTGAGATGAATAGTTGCCCGCACATGCAATGCATCTACATTATTTGGTTCAATTTCTAGTGACTTGTTGATATCATCCAGTGCATCATCAAGCTGATTAAATCTGAGGTGAATAGCTGACATAGGTCTTGATGCTGCATAAGAACTTGGTTCCAGAGCCTTTGCATCTTCTATTTTATTGTTGCCTAGATTTAGAGATGTTAAATCCTTTGCTCTTGTATCTCCTATTTGATTACTAGCAAGATCCAAAGAAATTGGAGAGAAATTTGATCCTAGAACCTTTGCCAAAGCTGTTGTTCTTGTATCTCCAATTTGATTACTAGCAAATTCAAAAAAAGTCAGAGAGGAATTTGATCCTAAAGCCTTTGCCAAAGCTTTTGCTCCTGTATCTCCTATTTTATTATGATCTAAATTTTGAGATGTCAAACAAGAATTTGATTCCAGAGCCTTTGCTCCTATATCTCTTACATAATTATGATCCAGATTTAGAGATGTCAAATAAGAATTTGATTCCAGAGCCATTGCCAAAGCTGTTGCTCCTATATCTCCTATACTGTTCCTCTCCAAATTTAGAGATGTCAAACAAGAATTTGATTCTAGAGCCATTGCCAAAGCTGTTGCTCCTATATCTCCTATACTATTCCTCTCCAAATTTAGAGATGTCAAACAAGAATTTGATTCCAGAGCCTTTGCAAAAGCTGTTGCTCCTATATCTATTACATAATTATGATCCAGATTTAGAGATGTCAAACACAAATTTGATTCCAGAGCCTTTGCCAAAGCTGTTGCTCCTGTATCTCCAATTTGATTACTAGCAAGATCCAAAGAAGTCAAAGAAGAATTTGATTCTAATGCCTTTGCCAATGCTATTGCTCCTGTATCTCCAAGCTGATTATAAGAAAGTTTCAAAAAGGTCGGGGAAGAATTTGATTCCAGAACCATTGCCAAAGCTGTTGCCCCTCTATCTCCTATTATATTATGATCTAAGTTTAGAGATGTCAAACAAGAATTTGATTCCAGAGGCTTTGCCAAAGCTATTGCTCCTGTTCCCCCTATTTTATACCAAAATAAATTTAGAGATGTCAAATGCAAATTTGATTCCAGAGCCTTTGCCAAAGCTGTTGCTCCTGTATCTCCAATTTGATTACTAGCAAGATCCAAAGAAGTCAAAGAAGAATTTGATTCTAATGCCTTTGCCAATGCTATTGCTCCTGTATCTCCAAGCTGATTATAAGAAAGTATCCAAGAATTAACAAAAGGGTTTGATTTTAAAGCAACTGTCAGTGCTATCACTCCTCCACTTCTCAGTTTTGAAGAAAGATCCAGTGCTCTACTTGGTAAATGCTGACTTGTATTATTAAATAACAGATTTAATTTTTTATATATCTCTTCACATGATGGTCGTTCATCAAGATTTTCACTCCAACATTCTGAATATAGCTGAACATATGCTTCTGGTGTTCCTGGAAATGGAGAATCTCGATAGCCTTGTTTTCTAAATTCTGCCACACTATAATGGGTGCATTTTTTACAAGAAATTTGCCCACTAGAAATTTCCCAGAACAGCACACCAAGACTAAAGATATCAGACTTCTTTCCACGTTTATATGATTGAACTCTGAATGATAAGGGATCTATGTATGCTGCTGCTGCACCTTTTCTTTCTGATGAGGATATAATATGTTTAGATAAACCAAAATCAGTAATTTTTACAATGCCTCCGTTTATAAGAATATTGGAGGAGGACTGTTAGGGCATAAATAATTATTAGTTTATAATTGTTAATAAAATGGTGAGCAAAATAAAGTGTAATCACAAATTACCAAGTCCTTGTGGATGATATCAAGTTTATGCATGTGTCCCAAACCATTGGTAATTTCCAAACCGAGCTTGTACTTGTCTCTCCATGTTAAACTATCAAAATGTTGAATCAAGTGATCACGCAAAGTTCCGTCATTGGCAAATTCAAAAATCATATGACACCTGTCATCTTTGTCTTTATCTTGAAAAATCCATATGGCATTAGAGAAATATATAAATAACGAATTATGATTATATGTGTATACTTACAGATACCTAGAAATTTGGTAATGTTCGGATGACCGCCCACTTTCTTGTGGGTTTTCAGCTATGTATGCCAATCGTATGTTAATTATGAGAAAACAATGAAACAGTGTACGATACTAGCAAAAAAATAATAATATCAAACCTCTTTAACAAGTTCTTTGTAAAATTTTTCTTCACAACCGTGGACATTCCGATACAAAGTTTTTATGGCGACAGTCAATCTATTGTGTTTCATCGCTGCCTCATATCCTGCTCTATAGGCACCACCAGCAATAGGTGAACGACGCACTTCAATGTCGCTTTTTGGATAACAACGAATAAAATCCGCTTGAATACTTTTCTCAATCCATTCTTTATATACGTTATTAGGGCCCCGCTGACTGATTACTTGAGATTGCGAAGATCGCTCATCAGTTTCTATCTGGGAAGGTTGATCTGGATACCCGTTTCCTAATTGATTAATATCGTTTTGTCGCTGAGAATCTTGGTATACGTTTCCTTGTGACTGAGACGGGCGGGCAATAACCTGTAATGTCATAAAGTGTGAGCTTGATACGGTTACCTCACAGTAAACCGAATATACGAACCTGTGATTGGACATGCTCTATCGGAAAAACTCCTTGAACCAAGTTTTGTCGATCCGATTGGTGTTCAGATTGTGTCGGCGGCGTAAATAATTCTTTCGGTGTTTGTATTGTACGCTGTCTCGCATGCGGGTACTGCGACAACCACTGTTGTTGGGGGTGTTGGGGGAACAGAGCGTCGTCCGGTTGCTGAATCGAACCTGTCGGAGAAAATTGATCATATTTACGCAGAAATAATCCCTCGTCTGTTGGTTGCAAAATAACATACGTTGGCAGACCACTAGAGGTAAACACACCTGTGGGTAATTGGTCTTGTTGAGACTGTGGTCCTGCTTGCAATCCGTTTTGTGAGTTAGTCAGCAAATCTTGATTTGGGCCATTCATGTATTCCTGCTGCATTAGATTAATATTAAGCAACGTGTGGGAGGGCTGTTGTTGATGGTGTTGTTGTTGCTGTTGTTGCTGTTGCTGCTGTTGTCGCACCGATTCTTCTTGTTGACAGTTCCATGGTTGGTTCTGCCACGCATGCAAAGGATGTTGTGACATTTGTAGGTAAACTGTTAGACCAAGTCGATAATGTCATTCGTAGTCTATATAGTGGATTTCGGGTAACACGATATACTTCTTATGGTACAATATACGCAGTTAACCATTATTTGTACAGTGCGACTGTTCGGGACCAGCGTAATATCGACGAGTCCGTAATATCGACTTGTGAGTTTTATATCAGATATTATTTAGTAAACAAATTCCGTTCCAGAAAAGGTCCGTTTTATTGACGGTCCGTTATATCGACTTTCACTATGTATAACATTTAAAAGCAAAATTGTTTGATTACAGCACATAGCTGCGATATATAGTTTCGTTGTTATCTATAGAACAATTTTATTAAAATAATAATAATAATATGAATGCCATATAAATATTTGGATTTACATATCACTTAATATATACCGCACATGTCATCACCGCATATTTCTTTCATTATAAAGGTTATATATTGCGCTATTTAAATTTTAAGCGATTGTACATAATGTTACATTAAGTTGATGCTTATGCGATCTAGTTATTCTTCATGAAAGTAAGATTCATACTTCAGCCGCCAGGAATTAATACAGGAATTTTGAAGATAAAAGCGAAATGATCCGAAAAATGGAAAAAGAAATATCGACTGAAGATAAGAAAATGTAATTGTTAGACTTGCGATTGGTGCTAACCAGTCTACAGGATAAGGACCGCGACAATTCAGTATTATTGATGACGTCTAGGTCAAACGTTTCCATCAACATTTGGCAGAACAGTCGATGATCAAGACATACTACCTTTTTCGTTTCTAAAGAAATCGCCTTCCACTTACGGGCATTAGTTTTGGTATTTTGGTAGATGAATTATTCAATAATTCATATTCATGTTAATTTAAATAATCTTCAGAAATAAATGACACGCAATCGCCTACATTCAGTTCAAAGATTTCGGTGATAGGAAATATGAGTATGCGGGGGCATTTTTATTTATTTAAGTGGTGTGGTGAACTACTAGTGATGATATAGACTGTATAGCGTATTAATAAATATCTAGTCTTGGATTGTTCCATTTCGAGTCATGGCCTTTACGGCATGATCGGCGCCTTGCATAAGTTACCATTACCATACATCTGAAATTTTTTCGACAGACACTTTCGCTTTTCATAATGGTAGGAGCACCAGTTCATGCATGCTACAGTAGTTCTGAGACTTTTACCTAGAAACTAATCATACGCTTATCAACGTAATTCTAAAAAATAGCCACAGAATGAGTATATTGAAGAATCGATCAGACGGCATGGGCGTCGACTAGATTATGAGGAACGGAAGTAAGTATTCCATTTACAAAGATTCCCAGCGATCGGCTAAAAAACTTCGTTATAAATTTTAACTTGGATCCTTGCATCCTTGTAGGCGAAAACGGGCTGCCCGTGAAGCACACAGTGCTGCCACATTTGCCAAGACTGTACATGGGCTTCGTGCTAAATTATACAACAAGAAGCGTCATGCAGAAAAGATACAGATGAAAAAGACGTAAGTTGTAATTTTAATTCTCTTCATTAATTTGGCTTATAAATTACTTCATACGCATTGGTTTACTTATCAACGGTTGGTAACCTTTCCTCAGAATCAAGCAACATGAAGAAAAGCAAGCTACAAAGAAGGACGCAGAGGCCGTCCCTGAAGGAGCTGTTCCAACATATCTACTTGATCGTGAAGGTCAGCAGAGAGCAAAGATACTATCAAACATGATCAAACAAAAGAGAAAGGAGAAAGCTGGCAAATGGACTGTTCCTCTACCAAAAGTGCGGGGTATTACAGAGGACGAAATGTTTAAAGTAATAAAGACTGGCAAGCACAAGAGTGAGTACCGAGAGTGGGTCAATCAAACTCGTTGTCGAGCGTCTGCTTGGTCTAAATAATTCTCATATTCGTTGTAGCAAAACAATGGAAACGAATGATTACTAAACCTACATTCGTCGGAGAGGGATTTACGCGTAAACCTCCGAAATACGAGCGATTCATAAGGCCAATGGCATTGAGATACAAAAAGGCAAATGTCACACATCCCGAGCTCAAGGCCACGTTTTGTCTACCAATAATTTCCGTAAAGAAGAATCCACAGAGTCCTTTGTATACGTCATTAGGCGTGTTAACCAAGGGAACGGTGGTAGAGGTCAATGTCTCTGAACTCGGGCTTGTTACTACGTCAGGAAAAGTGGTGTGGGGAAAGTATGCTCAAAGTAAGTGTGTATTGGAGTCTGTTGGGCGATGCGTAACTATAGTGTCTAACCAAAATCTGCAAAATTCTTTCCTAGTCACAAATAATCCCGAGAACGATGGATGCATCAATGCCGTCTTACTCGTCTAATTATTCACAGAACTAATCAAGTATGCACAAAAAGATTATAAAAAACCGCGCTTCCGAGTATCAGTGAACGTGGACTATATGCCAATTAACTCAAAGCAACACAGATTTTTAATTAATGTCTATTCTTGTCGTTTGACTTTATCACTTGTCAATTTCTCTATTCCGACAATCCCCAGTTTGTAGTTTATAAGATACTCTTCACATCACGCATTGGCGAATGTCTTCCTGCTCGTACCCTTTCGGGATTGCTGCTCAGGAATAGTAAATGGTATCCGAAGCACAGCGAATTTGTGTTCTGATGCGTATCGGTAACTGACACCCAACTTTTCTCGTTCGGCTTTTGTGAGAGTTTCGACTGTGCATCCGACATTCTTAAAGAATCTACTAAGTCTATGCAACGCAGTATAATTAGATCAATAAATTCATAATTAGAATACATGTGTCAAACCCAATTGCAAACTAGATCGCATACTTGGCCTTTTGGATCTGAAGATCAGTAGCAAGCTGTCCAAATTCAACCCTGAAATTGTCAACGATTAGGCAAATGATACATATATACGACAACAACTTGGCGCTGGCTCGTTTTGTGAACATTGCTCTATATAATTCAGACATAATTGATTATTAATCTTGTGCTAACAATAAATGAACTGTTGAACCGAGCATTCTAATACCTGGTACGCATGCCGGCGGGAGTTTCACTAAAATTATGATACAGGCTGTCTATTAACGACTTGCTAGCAGTCTTGAGTTCTTTTTCCACAAAATTTCTAGACCGAATCTGTCCTTCTTCTCCCATTCTGTAGAATGCAATCAAGTATGTCAAATAAAGTATAATCTTTGTTTTCTGAACATCGTCGGCAGCAATGGCAGAGGACAGATGAGTTTTCATGTAGGGTGAACTAGAGAGACAATCGTGGTATTAGAACCTAAAACGATGAATTTCTTATAAAAAAAGGCAGTTTCTTTATATATTTGTAACTTACGCAATCGGGATTAAAGCCATTCGCGCCTCACTACTTGCTGCCTTGAACAAGGGGACAACGTCGACATCACCCAAATCAGGAATGACGTCTTCTAACTTGTACACCTCTGCCGGAGTCGATGCATCTTTATTATACGGAGGACGTGGATCAAATTTCTTTGCACCTTGTTTATCCGAATTTTGCCCTTTCAAAGAACGAAATAATTTGAGTACTCTAACGCTACGGAACAGAAATTAAATTGATCACAGTAAATACCTCGTGTGCGAGGATTGCTTGCGACTTCGGCAGCTAACTTGGGAAGATATTGAGTACGAGCAATCTCGAGGTCTGCTTCATCGATCGAGTATAGACGTTTATCTTTGATGCGTTTTCTTGCTTTAGCGGAGCCAAATTCAAGAGCAAGACGGTCCCACTGTTTGCCTGACTGGTGAAATAAAGGAGGGCCGTTAAAACGGATTGGATTATTCGTATAAATCGCAAGACTTAACATGAATCACAAAACTGGTTATATATTACATACGTTCAGTTGCTCTTCTTCAGGTTTGTCGATTCTCGCCCTCTTGACTCTGACACCGAATTCGCAAAGTGGTACTTTCATAAACTCTAACGTTTTTGTACGTTCATTGTATATACCGGCCATGTATCTATCAACATCGGAGCTTGAAATTAGATCGCAGTCCCAAATTTTAAAGTCCGCCCATCCAATGTTTGCAATACTTACTCACACTGTGAGTCATCGTTATCGGAAGTTTCTGCAACATAATCGACATGTTCATCCTCGGCTATAATAAAGCGCTTTGCAGTTTTGGAATTTTTTATTATAGGGCCTTTAAAGACTTTGTAATGCTGAGAGTCGGACGGAACTGGGCCAGTATAAGAGGCTAAACGTATGAGCAAGTTTGTTAGTAAAACATTGTCGTTGATACCAATTCCGGTTCTCTTTTGGCAAGTAAATACCTAGAACAGGACCATCAACATTTTTTAAAGCTTTAAATTTCATCTTTGATACAATTAATGATAATATTTTTTTCGCCTACTACATCTTTGGCTCTTGTGGTGTAACGATCGATCAATATTAAACGTTTCCATAACGGGAAAATTCTCTGAGTCTTCGACATTGCATGACGTAGAAATAAGAATGATATGTTGACATGCTAAATGTCCAATGGGAATGCCATTCTATATTCGAGCCATGTTCAATATATGGTGTTAACCATTCACGAGTCTCTGTCATGTCAAAAAGCAGATTCATATTTTCCGCTATACCAGACCTATCAAGACCCGCCATCATCTTTATTTGTACATATAATTCTCCTATCACTGTGCCTCGTTGTAATTTAAAATAAACAGTCCATAATTGGATACCTGCAATTAATGTATCGATGAATCCATGTGCAGCTACCCGCCTTACTGTACTGTTACCCTATTCCAAATAAACTTTTCATCTAATCACATTTTTTGAGACATTGTAATACGTAGGAAATGTAACAAACAAATTATATAACTGGCAGAAAGGTACCCAAGCGAACAATTTACACATTCCGATGACGTACAACAAGGGGTTCCGAGGAGGGAAAATAAGAACGTGGATTGACTGGGGTACATCTTTTTTTTCCCTTGGAGCGAGAGAGCATATATCTCAATTACTTTGTATTCCCTTTCGCTCAAACTCAATCTACTCTTCACAATGTCTTTATCAAAGCCAACGAGCAGTAGCACAACAAGTGGAAGACCCACCCTTCCTCAAGCGTATGGGTACCTCACGATCGTTCAATCTGGCACTGCTATCGTCTTTTCCACCGTCCTGGTAACGCATTTATCAGCTATTGCATTAGCCAACTTTGGCGGTATTCATTTGACAAACAAAGCCATCATTCTTGGTCGCGTCTTTTATCAAAATCGACTGCTTGAACCCATTGTTGTGTTTGGAGCCTTCTGGGGACATGTATTATCAGGATTAGCTAAAAGAGGAATAAAGCTGTATTGGAAATATAGAAAGGCCGATGTACGAAAGTTGTATGGAGAAGTATATGAGAAAGTAGAAAAGATTGTGGAGGACGAGACGAATGAGCAAGGAGTTGTTGTTAGACAAAAGATTACCACCAAGACGACAACGACAATCACCAGTTCTTACCTCTCTCGAGCGAGTGCTTTGTTACTTCCATTCCATATTCTAACCGGATACCTGTTGTTTCCTCTTGCGGC